GAAGGCAATAAATGCTTCCAGCAAGTTCACTCGTTCGCTCAAGAAGAGAGGGAAACGCAAAATAGATTACAGGGTTCCTTCACTTTCTATAGAGGATGTTCGCGATATAAAAGAAGAGAGTGCTGTCTATGAACTGCGCCAAAATCTTTTTGAGCGCAATTTACTGCCAGCCAAACATGATGACTACCACACACTATTGAGGTCTGTTTGTGGGAGTAGTTTGATTTCAGGTTATGTTACAAAATGCCTTATGCTTATTTTAATGTGTGGTTATTGTGACATTTTTTCTGCAGATTCTTGAAAGCCAGAGACTTTAGCATTGACAAAACCATTCACATGTGGGAAGAAATGCTTAAATGGAGGAAGGAATATGGAACCGACACGATATTGGAGGTGATACTTATGCTTATTCATACACACAAAACATATGTATGTATGTACGTGCACAATAAATTAACTGCTCACACTATTTTTTTTACTGGAAAGGACTTTGACTTCAATGAGCGGCAAGAAGTGTTGCAATACTACCCTCAAGGGTATCATGGTGTGGATAGGGAGGGCAGACCTGTATATATCGAAAGACTTGGACAAGCTCACCCAAGCAAACTAATGCGGATAACAACAATAGAACGCTACTTGAAGTATCACGTCCAAGAGTTTGAGAGAACAATACTTGAAAAGTTCCCAGCATGTTCTGTTTCAGCAATGAGAAGGATCTGCTCAACAACTTCTATATTGGACGTGCAAGGCCTGGTATGTTAAGTTTTCCACTTGGTTGACATAAAGAATGTGGTGCAGACAAACATGAAATTTATGTTTCATGTAGATGTCTCTGTGCTCTTACTTGGCCTGTGCTATTGTGTTTACTATTGAGGGTCTCGTGGAAACAGCCTCTCTACTACCGAGTAGGGGTAAGGTCTGCGCACACACTCTTCCCATTCTTCCCAAGCCCTACTGTTGTGGGATTTTTACTGAGTTTTTTTCTTCTTGCGGAGAACTCGTAAAGACTACTCTTTTTTTTGTTATGTATTGAAAGGGCACATTCTGAATGCAGGGGGTGAAGAACTTCACGGCGACAGCTGCCAGTCTTTTGGCAGCTGTGACGAAAATTGACAACAATTATTATCCTGAGGTATTATTTTGCTGCTACTTATTGAAAATCTTAAAAGTGCTTTTTTCTTGCAAAAATTAGCCTGCAGAAGTTGCTCGAGTGATTTTCCAATATTTATTTTAATGCATACTGCAGACCCTGCACCAAATGTTTGTTGTTAACGCTGGAACTGGCTTCAAAAAGATGCTTTGGCCTGCTGCACAGAAGTTTCTGGATGCAAAGACCATTGGTAAAATCCAGGTAGATGCTCAATTTAACATTGCCTTATTTTCACTTTTTTCCTTGTAAAAAAAACATTTACTATATTGTTTTGAATCATGATTTTGCAGGTTTTGGAACCGAAGTCTTTGGGCAAACTGCTTGAAGTAATTGACCCAAGGTTGGTTCACTTTCTTCATGTTTTGTATTTCTTTCTTCCTTCACAAACAAGAGGGTCATCTCATATCTTGACTTCCTTGGTTTTTCTTCAGTCAATTGCCGGACTTCTTGGGCGGGTCTTGTACTTGTCACACTGAGGGTGGCTGTCTAAAGTCTAACAAGGGTCCTTGGAGTGATCCCGATATAATGAAGGTGCCTATAATATAATACACTCCGTATTATTAAATCTGTCTATAATATTACACAAAGTATTCGTATGATTGTGAGTTTGATGGAATATTTCCCCTACTTCAAGCTCGTGAATAATGCGGAAGCAACATTGGTGAGACAGATTACTAGGGTATGCAGCAACCAACAGAAAATTGATTCCTATGTTCATGTCTGCCCACTTAAGGTAAATAAACAGTTGGAACATATACTTTCAAGGTTGAGAGATTTTTTTAGTTCTTTCAATTTGACTGGACTTTATTTGTTTAGGGAAGGATGGATGATAATATATCAAGAAACGAATCCATATCTGAGATTATTGACAATCCACGTTCTCTGGGTGAACAAAGTAGCAGCACGCATGCAAGGTTCGCCCCTCTTCTTGAAGAAGTGAGTGCTTAAATCGCATGTTTCAAAATTATCAAGAGAATAGGCTCGCGGTACTGATTCTTCACATTATTATGCTAAAGTGCTGACAAAACTCTGGTTAGTGTAGGCAAGGCCATCAAATTCGAGTCTTTATTATAGTTACGATGAACCGAGTCAAAGTGATAGAGAAGTTGGCAGTGGACAAGGACTCCATTTTCCCGAAGCTAACTCATCTCAAAGGAATGATTTGGATTCGTTCGCCAATGGAGCACCAAATTCTCAAGGTATGTGTTTATACTGTTGTGCAATTTCAACAACAAACCCAGTAAAATGATGACCATTTTCTCATATGGACACTGATAGAACTGTAAATATAGGAGCCGTTTTGATTCACGGGTCGGATTCCATCCAAGAAAAGCTTGTGAGCAGATGTCTCGGGTACCTGACACGACCGGCGATATCTTTTGCGCTCAAACTGTTTTCGGTCATCCTAACTCTTCCTTTTGAGGCCTGGAAGAGACAGCGCACGGACATTTACCCTTCCGGTTCATTGGAAGAGAAGCATGACAGCAGCAGCAGCAGTAATAGTAGCAGTAGTAGTAGTAACACAGCTGCTAATGAAGAGGAAGAAGAAGAAGAAGATCATCTCCATCCGTGCATTCAACGCCTTGAAAGGCTGGAACAGTTAATCGAAGAGCTACACAAGAAGCCTGCTGAGATGCCATTGGAGAAGGAGCACATGCTCAAGCAATCCTTGGACAGGATCAAGTCTGTGGAATTTGATCTTGAAAAAACTAAGAGGGTAATAAGCAACCCTCAGTCTACTACACTAGTTTATCATGGTCATGGTTTGTTTTATTATATTGGGATTTCAATAATTATTTTAATTTATTTTAATATATATTCTCCCAGGTGCTGCACACGACGTCGATGAAGCAGGTCGAAATCACAGAGCTGCTGGAGAAGATGCGAGAATCCAGAATTCAAGTATGTGTAAACTCTAAATAAATCCATACTCCCTAGTCGGAGTAAATTTTTTTTGTTGGCTAGGTTCTTTTGACACCAAGAGCATGTGCCATATTACGACACCGGTCCATTTGTGGCCATAACCCCCAAGTTTTTTCTACCCCACACAAAACTTTCCCCTCCCAAACTCGCCCCCTCCATATTGTCACCCATGTGTGGGGTAGGGGTGCAGGGGGCCGGCTAGGAGGAAGGAAGGAGGTTTAGGGGATATAAATCATTTCGGGGTCAAACAGAGCCCTATTGGGCTCTCAAGTGGACCTGGTGTCATATTATGACATCAGAGCTAATTGTCAATGGCAGAGGCAAGACTACACATTCACAGAGGGCACCTTTGCCAAAATCTTTTTTGGGGTACCTTTGTTGGAACCTCCTCGGGAAGCACGTGGTCACGTGGACTACCGTCTCCCTTGCCTCTGCCACTGTGTCAAAAGAACCTTTCTGTTAATCTTTTTGGTCATTTGTTATTAGTATTAGACTAAGGTGACACTGATTTGTCTTCTTCTTGTCGTCGGTTGCAGCGGAAGAGGTTCTTTTGTTGATTTTAACCGGAGTTTGACAAGGGTTGGTTAAAGATGTTGTCCAGAAGAGTTTTCACTGCGGGTAAAGGAATAATTTTTTACTGCTAACCATAGAAGAGTAAGAAGAACGCTGTTTCACCTGTTTGGCTCTCATATCATATGCACATTTTAACTTTAGTTCACAAATGTAGCCCCCCACATAGCTTTTTTTTTTCTTTCTCTTTCGAAATGTAGCCAGAATGAGTTCAGGGTTAAAGTAAAAGACAGCCAAAGTATATTTGTTTCTACTATGATTGGCACATATCTGTTTATAATGAACTGAGTTCCCAATGGATATCCGAATCACCTCATCTGATTAGATGGACAAAAACTTACCAATATACTTATACTACGTTCATGTAGTAAATTAAAGGTTCTTCAATTACACCAAGTATTTTTTTCACAGTAATTGATTGAAGTTATTTTAAATTCGATAAATTTTAACATTGATGTAGAAATACTAAGTATATACAATTAAAAACAAAACTCGTATATAAAAATATCTACATTGAAGTATAAAATAAACGATGATATGATTATATCATGTATTGCTTTCTCAAATCATTGCAAATAAGTAAAGAAAGAAATACAAGAGTATAATTGATCTTGTGATTTTTTAGAATAACAAGACATTATATAGACGTAGTATATTTTTTTGACAAAGAGAGAAGTGTCATATTGATCATATTAGAAGTTGGAACTTAAAATCACTATAAAAGCACAAATGAGGAAAGATAAAAAAAATACCAATAAATAATACTAAAATATGAAATTTATTGGAGGAGAATAACATATATGCCGGTTAAAAATGAGAAACTTAACCAAAATAAAAAGTTTAACTCAAACCAAAGCTTTATGGGAGATGTTCATAAATAAATACATGGTGATTTGGTTCAAAACTGATAATATCATAACGCATTCTTCCAAAAGAACTAATATGAAAATAAACTTCTCCTTTTACTTGAGTGGTAGCAAGCCCACTCTCCAGAATTTATGGGGGAAGCTACAAAGCTCACCCAGTTTCCCTCCTCTTAAAATGTTATTGTATTCAGTTTTTATTTACTTATTAGTTCTAAGAAAACAATGCACCCATGTATAATATAACCATGTTATCGCTCGTTTTATAAGATTTTTAAATGTACAGATTTTATTTTTGAAATTTTTATATCTATGATCAGATAAAATAAATTGAAAATAACTTAAGTTTTAATGTAAATAAGGGAAGAACTGGAATATTTGTATTACATATTTCAACTTCTCACCCAAAATTAGTCAAAAAGAAGCACTGTTTTTCATATTAATTTTGTCATCTGTTACGCGTTTATTCCCATCCGATCCAACAGATATACAGAAAATCATCACCAATAAAACTGATTAGCTAAAACCATTAAAATTAGATCCGAAGGAAAGTGTGTTTTTCTTGTTCGCCCAATGGCATCCAAACAGAGAAAAATTGGACGGATGATGATGCCGATTAGTTGTTGTATCCCTTTGCTTCTTCTTCTTCTTCTTCTTTCATTTCTGGTAATCCCTTCTGGATCTCAAAACACATCAGGTATGAAGATAATTAAGTAAGAGATGGGATGGTGTTTTTCTTGATTTCATGATGTTTGTGAAAGCTAGGAGTCTTAATCAGGTCAAAGATTTGATTTTGATGCAGGAGATGATGAAGATGAAGATGGGGTTCTTGATTCAATGGGGAAAAGGCGACTCCTTCAATCCAAGAAAAGTAGGCTTTCTTTCATCATCATCATCTTCTTCTTCTACCCCATTAATATGCAGAGTAAAAACAGAGTGATTGATTGATTCCGGTGCAGATTGCCCGGTGGACATGGAGATTCAGAACTACACGGCGATCACAGGGCAGTGCAAAGGCCCGAACTACTCGGTCCAGCAATGCTGCGGTGCTTTTCTGACCGTCGCGTGTCCCTTGTCGGAATATCTTAACGACCTCACCACCGACTGCGCCTCCAACATGTTCTCCTACATCAACCTCCTCGGCAACTACCCGCCGGGACTCATCTCCAACCTCTGCAAAGGAGACAGGGTTGGCCTCCCCTGCCCCGCCGGAAATGGCGGTGCAGCTCCCGCCCCGCCGCCCGCGTCGGCCGACGACCACGGCGGCGCAGCCACCTCTCCGCCTGCTCTTTGCCTGGTGCCGTTTCTGCTCTTGTGGATGCTGTTTTTTTCATTCTAGATTTTACTGTGCTTTAATTTGGTGTAGAGTTAATTAATGAACTTCTCTCTATCTTCTGCCAGGAATGTGTGTTTAAGGGACTCTTTGGGAATAGTGTTAGAGATTAACGTTAGCGTTTTGGATACTCCATCCGTTCCAAATTATTTGTCACATTTCTATTACCGAGGCAAAATATCAAGTTTTTTCAATTCATTTTATTTACATATTGGTAAAGAAATAAAAAATAAAAATTATATATAAAAAAACTACATGAAAAATTCTTCGAAATAAGATGTGTCAAGAATATTTTATTTTATCAAATAACCAATGAAAATGTAAAAACAAACAAAAGTTCCCGCGACTGTTGAAAAAACAAATGTGACAAATAATTTGGGACGGAGGGAGTAAAATTTTAACGATGCAGATTACTTTGAGAACGCTAACGCTAAACGTTGTCCGTAGATAATCTTTTCAAAACGCTAATTGTTAACCCTATTCTCAAACAAGCCATAAAACTTTAAAGAAAGATAAACTGTTTTGTACTTCTTAAATTCATATTACTCTATCAATCTTAAAACATGAAATTATTAAATGAATTGATTCTTGTAAATAAAATAAATCCAATTGTGAATCCGTAAAAATATGTAAACAATTCTACATGTTACATGTGATCACGATAACATCACTCTTTTTAGCAAATGCCTTTTGAGGCAATCTTTTACTGCTTCTTCTATTCCATGTTAAATATCTAGTTTAATTTTAGATTATTTAAAAGTGAATTAATATCGACATAATATATGTCTACAACCATTTTATTTGAACTGAACATAACTGTCCATATTCGAAAAAAATTAGAGGACGGATTAACACTAACAAGTATCAATCAATCTATTACTCCGGATTTGGTTGCTCCCAATACAAAAATGTGACCCATAAGACAAATTTTTAAGTAGTTCTAGGATTCGTGTTCATTTTATGAATCTTAGTATATTAATACAATAAAAGAATTAGATTTTTTGTTAAAAAAAGATCGACTTATCATTCCATTAAAAAAGTGAGAAGGTTTACATTTTATGTTGAAAAATTGAAATAACATAGTTAAAAACTCATTAAAATACTACATCTGCTATTAATTAATATGAATAAGAAGCTGACTAATAATCAAATATCACCATGACCAATACTAACATACTACTATTATTATTGTTTAACATCTCTCCTCATGCTGAACTCTTGCTGAAGCAAAAGAAAGCTTGGACACTAGCTCGAAACTGAAAACTTTGAGAAGAGAACGTGTTAAATATGTTAAGTATATTTATTATATATGTTAAGTATATTTCTTGTATCAATTATAGTATATTCCTTATTTGTATAGGATCCATATTTATTATTGTTTCCTTATTGTAACCCCTTCCTACTTGTATATAAAGGGAGGTGGATTCATTGTATTAATCATAGAAAATAATAATTCTTCATGGTATCAGAGCCATTCCTAGGCTAACCCCGAAACCTTCCTCTTCCCCTCTCCCGCTCGGCGTTGATCTCCCTGCCGCCACATCTCTCTCCTTCTCACGGCAGCCCTTCTCTGTTGTCACCCCCTCTCTAAAACCTACCCCCCACAAATATTTTCCATGGCTACGGAAAAACCAAACTCTCCCCCACCCACCCCTCATCTTGCGTTTACAACGATCTCTAACGTCAAACTCCATGTTCCCATTACCCTCAGCTTCTCGGAGCCCAATTACAAAAAATAGAGCCGTCTTTTTCTTCTTTTGGTTCGCCGTTTCAACCTTGAAGACTTTCTCACCGGTAAGAAAACCTCAACCGGAAAAGATGACGTTGAATGGATCCAACTAGACGCTCTCATCCAAGGATGGATTCTCTCTACCGTCAATGATGAAGTGTCTGATCTCATCATCTCCTCCACTACATCCGCTGCAGATCTCTGGAATTCCATTCACAACTTATTTCATGATAACAAAGCGGCGAGAGCCATGCAATTGGAGCAACAATTCTTCACCACCGTCAAAGGGACATCCACCATTGCCTCGTACTGTCAAACACTTCGAAACATTGCCGATTGGCTTGACGATGTTGACGCCCCGGTCACTGAAAATCAACTTGTGTTGCAAACCCTACGTGGCCTCCCGGAGGATCTCAGCAATCAAGCCTCGTTTCTGCAATTTCAGAAACCCCCGCTAACCTTCATGGAGACCCGGTCGGCTCTCCTTCTTCTCGAGGGACAGCGGCGACCTCACGCTGCCGCCGGTGAGCAAGGCACGGCGCTGGCAGCACACGGCGGAGGAGGCCCTCGCGGCCCGGGCTACGGCGGTCAAGGTGGACAGCACTTCGGACACAGCAGCGGCGGTAATGGACCGCCCCAAGGGTACGGCGGACGAGGGCAGGCGCATGGCGGACGTGGTGGACGGCTGACTCGCGGTCGTGGTCGCGGACGGAACGCAGGAGGACACTCTCGGCAAAGCCCTGGACACTTTAACCCGTGGCAGATCCCTCACCCAACTCAACAGTGGGCTGGGCTCTTGGGCCCGCGCCCCAACCCACCCCAAACCTTGGCCCAAGCCCATTACACTCAACCCACACATTCCCTCTACCCAAACCCGTTAGCCCACACCCCTCTCAACCCACAAAACCCCTTC